ATTTAAAATACATTTTTAATTGTTTATAAATTCACTGACCCCATGCAGTACCTTCATGGAACCCCAGGGGGCTTTAGATGTATTTGTATTAATGTATCAAATGAATAAAATCTAGCCTTCTTTTTTAATCTCTTTAGGTATTCTGTCATATCTGGCAGATCGTCCCCCTCCCCAATACATTCATCCCAGCAGCCTTAACATGGATGGAACTCTTTCCGTGTCCAACAACAACCCCTCTGGCTTAGACCCATACAGTGGCCCCGGCGGCCCTCTTGAACAAGGCCTGGTGACCCTAGACACAAGACAGGTCGGAGGCCAGGCTGATCTCCACCAAGGAGGCACTCACGAAGTTCAACTAGATGCCACAGGACTAACCATGGAGTCACGTGTAAGTAGTCCGATGTCTCCTGATGGAATGGAAGAGGACTTGGCCACCATGGAGGGTGTCGTGGTGGCAGAGACCCAGCAGCAGCTGGGTACCAGACCTCAGCCTCATGAGGGATTGACAGGTGTGAACTCCTCAGGAGGTGTGATGCCCCTGCATGGAGCAGGGCTGGAGCTCCCAGTGGTGATGGAGCAGGAGCACATAGGCGGCAGAGTAAGAACCAGCACTACAAGAACGGGCGGTCCAAGGACGCTTGGTGAAGCCTTGCATTCTACTGGAGAACTGAACTCTGGGGTGGTTAGTGTGGTGCTCATGGGGGCCATGCCGCCTCAGGCTCAACTAGAACCGGTATCTCTACATGGACCTTCAGGAATGGGACTCGAGCCTGTTAATGTGTCGCCCATCACCGCAGAAGTGTCTCTTGGGCCGGACAACAGTCTGGTGCTAGTGAACTCTACTTTACAACTAGAAGACTCAACATCTAATAAGGAAAACATGGCCACTGCCTTCAACATATGTAAGATTTGCTTGCCGATTTTGGGTATTGGAATGTGTTTCAGTCCAATTTCATGCGTTTGATCTTTTTTTAGGGTGCACTTTATGTGAGCGGTCATATCCGTCGGACTGCCCTGAGCATGGACCCGTCACATTCATCCCAGACACGCCCATTCAGAGCAGAGCCCGCCTCTCTCTGCCCCACCCCCTCTGCTTCCGCATTTCTGTAGCTGATGAACCCATTGGTACAAACTTTGCGTACAATTCTCAAAATATACTTAATACTTTATTGTGTAGTGTCCTTATGATAAATGTTACAGTTGTTATTAAATCAATAACAGTAAATTATGCAAGACTACAAGCAAATAACCAAATAAACCAAACTTTAACCTTCTAATAAGTATGTGATGTTAATTAATATTGCTCAGAACTTATTTATTATACTCTCAGTATATCCAATATGAACTGATACCAATAAATAAATAAAAAAACACTAATATCGGCCAATAATCTACTACATGCTACCAATAAATTATGAAACTAGCTATATAATATCTTATTGCTAGTAAAATTTAGCCAGAAACAATTGACTACTTTTCATTATTGAAGATGTTTGGTTAACAATTTATTTTACAGTCTCCTTGTTACACATGTAACATGTACTTACTATATTAATAACAGTAATTTATGCATAATTACATGCAACTAACCCTAAACCAAACCCTAATTCTGACTCTAACACTATATAAGTTGTTGTTAATTAATGTTACTTAGTAGGAAAATGAGTAATTACACTGTAACAAAGGCACCTTAAAATAAAGTGTAACCGATGTTTGGGTGAGTGACTTCATTAGTTAGCTTTTTAAGTGTAGTTAATGGGAAGTGATGTCCATTTGCTTTTGAAAATGGAGGATTTTGTTAGGAGCCATTTTTTGTTTCCTTCAGGTGTGTTTGCTAGAGAGACCATACCCTCCAGGACCTGCTTTGGGCCGATGATCGGACAGCATTGTAACAGTGTAGAACTTACAGACTGGTCTGATAAAGATACTCCTCAAATATGGAAGGTACATGCCACATTTTTAAATATAAGTGAATTGGCCAAACAGTTCTTCTTTAAAAAAAAACAAAAAAAACATATACATTTTTGAATGCACACTACCGTTCAAAAGTTTGGTATCAGTATTATTATTATCATTATTTAAAGAAATTAATATGTTTATTCAACAAGGATGCATTAAATTGATAAAAATTGACAGTAAAGACAGTTATGTTGCAAAAAAGATTCCATTTCAGAAAAATTATGTTCTTTTGAACTTTGTATTAATCAAAGATTCCTGAAAAAATCCACACAAATATTGAGCAGTACAAATGTTTTAACATAAAAATAATGAGAAATGTTTCTTGAGAACCAAATCAGAATATTAGAATGATTTCTGAAGGATCATGTGACAC